CATTACTCCTCTTTTCCTGCTTATTTTCTTTTCATAGTAATTTGCGAGTTCTAAATAGACCATAAAAGAATAGAAACTCATAATCTCTTACCCCCAGCAACTTGCAACTTCTTGATATTCTAAAGAAAGAAAACCTAATCCTATATGTACTTTGAGAGCCCAATGAAAATGAAATCTAAACCAACACTATGATATGAATAATGCATGATGTCTTGGTAGTATTTTCAACCTTCAGAGCTAGAATGCAGTCTGGAACTTGCCTTCTCTGCATGGCCCAATTCACTTTTCCCTTTTAGCTCTTTGCAGCTATCTTCTGTTGGGTGTGTTTCGGAAAATAAAGAAAAATTAATTAAAATAAATTAATTAAATAAAATGACGAAAGAAAACAAGAAAAGAGATGGAGCAGAATTTGTCAAAGCTCGTGCTACGCACGATGTCCTTAAAACGTATTTGTTGCCTCCCACGGTGCTAGGAGCGTTGCAACAATAGTTTCCCAGGATACGATGACAACGAACTAGTGTTTGAGCACTCAAACAAAAGTTCCAGCGAACGAGAACAAAGACTGAACACAGAAGGAATTTTCAGAGTGCTAGCAGTGTGTTTTTAGAGCTAAAACGTGTATGGATTCGTGTAGAATCGTGTAAGAACCTGTGTTGTTGCAAACCACCTGCCAGCCCTTATATAGGAGGATTTGTTGTATGAAAATAGTGAATTAATGGACCTGAACGTTGGACATCAATGACCAGTCCGTTGGGCATTGAATCGTCCATGAACTGTCCATTTAACGCTGCGTAGTTCTGCCTGAAGGCCATCAGAACTGGAGCAATTCTGATGCGCGGCCATCAGAACCGGAGCACCTCTGCCCGAGGGCCATCAGAACTGGAGCAGTTCTGATGCGCGGTCATCAGAACCGGAGCACCTCTGCCCGAGGGCCATCAGAACCGGAGCACCTCTGGTCGTGGCCTTCTGCCCGGAGCAATTCTGCTAACTGGGAAAAATATAAGTTCCGGGAAGAAAACAAAAATTACCCGTATCTCTTGAGAGATGGATTTTTGGACGACATTCGTGTCCGCAGGTCGCCCGCGCACGCAAGTCGCGGTTTTTCTTCTCCGAATTCGGGATTTGATTTGCACCCCCCCCCCCCCCCCCCCCGCGCGCGTGGAGAGAGCCTTTACCCTTAAGAATCTTAACTCCTCAAGGGGGGAGATCCCTTATAAAGGGTTGCAAATCCCTTGGGTTTTCCGGTGTGGGAAATTAACACTAGAAACCCATCCTTTTTCCCAGTTTTTCCATTCTAACGGGTCAACTTCGAAAAGCGATTTCTCATTCACCCGTTATCCGTTTTGAGCGTACCATATATCGAATTGTAGCCCTAAGCAAGGACAATCCGAAACCACTTTGACCCGACCCAAATCGGAAGTGGACCCCACTCAAAAAATTGCCCCAAAATAGCCATTTAATGCAATTTTTCACACATTTTTCCAACATCTTCCACTCATGAGCAAACTTCTTGAAGTGGCCACACCTATGCAGCACAACATTTCAGTCAAAATATAATACGAGGTCATATATATCAAAGACATTCACACATAGATAAATGGGTAGTGATCTCATAGTGAGACGAGGCCAAAATGTATTTATAGTTGAAGTATTACTTTAAAATAACTGTTTATTGGGCTTCAAGATTGAAAAAGTCAAACTCCTAATGTGCATACATGCAGTGATGCACACATATAAACTTGTGCACAATATAATCCCCATTCATGAAAAAGCATATATTGGAATTTCTATTCACCTATCCATTTATAATAATTACATCTAGAGTGACCAATTTCACTTTTTGTACACCTCAACTTATTTTTTGTACATTCCAAGTAAGAAAGTACAAATAAGATGCCTTTGAGCTAAATAGATAGTTTATGCTAGTTTAACATGGAAATTTGTGTCTTAAATCATGCCAATACACAACTGGGGCAACTCTATAGAAGGAGACAATCAAACAAGACACTAAGAGATGCAAAAAATTATAGGCTGCTGGGTCCATTGACTCAAATTACATCACAATCTTCGATAATTTCATTTAGGGTTAATAAACACCGCTTTTTTGTTGTTTTTATATCTAGAATGGAGTAATATATATTGATACATATTTGGAAATAAGTCTTTATGGGAAATTTTGAAACACCAAGCTTTAGTTACTCAGCATATATCCTAATACATTTTTCAGATCTCTAAACTAATATTGAAATAGAACAGAAACCACATAAACTTACTAACTTTGCTCCCAACTTAATTTTTGAAACAGAGATAAAATCAACCATTTACAGTCTATACATGGAGAATGCCAAGTGTTTATATTAAATAAAATAAAAACAACAACAAATGTTTGCTGAGAATAAATTTTTTAGTAACAACTCTAACATAAAAAATTCATAGGTACCAATAAGATACATCATTTTATTTAACATATTAGCTCAACTTACACAACATATGTCAAAGAGAAGGTGTATTTTCTGAACCAATCAAGTTTTCTCTCAGAGTATATGACTCATCAACAACTCCGAAGCTGTAGAGTATCCAATGTAATGCAGTGAATAGTTTAAGCCAAGGAGGAGCAGGGGTGAGAAATTCCAGTGTATATGTCAATATGCTTAGTGTTTGAAACCAATAATCTGGTGTATGTGCTATGAGAAGTCCAAATACTATCACATCATTATCACTATATATGAATCATAGCAAAATAGCATGTATTTCTAACATTAATAGCCATAAACAATCATCAAGTGCTCTATGATTTAAGTTTAGCTAATATAATTAAGAACACGTATGGTTAGGAAAAAGAGGGAATCATTTTTTATATTGAATATTATATCCTAGAGTAAACCATAAATATGTCAATTTATATGCATATATTCATGTTCTTCAATATCACACTTCTAAATAACATGTGTTTGACAGTATATCAATATGCATATATTGTTGCTTCAATTGTTCTCCCAATTAAACTCGACGCACTGTTTTCATGGAATTGGATTAAGCAGCAAAAAAACAGAAAGACTCCAAGCTAGACAAATTGACAAACACGTTGGATGCTACATAATAGCAGAATACTATCTGCGTGTTTAAACCAAGCTGATTTTAAGTTTTTTAAGACAAGCTTTAGGCTCTGTTTTTTAAGATAAAAAACGAAGCAACAAAGCACCACACATGGGAAAAACATAACCTGGGTGATACAGATGGATGAAACAACTCTTCATTCAATTGATAGTCGAAAAGGACATGCTCATTTGTTAGGGATGTTCAGTGAAACATATAGATAAATTTCAAAGATATAGAGCAAGAGGCGGACACAATTTTTTGGCTGGGGTGAATTGGCGAAGTAGTGAGTATAAATATGGTAGAGAACGGGTCACGACGTTAAACGGGTTACAACTACGGACATCATGAGGGAGCGGAAGCTATATACCATCCGCAATTGCCGACTCAGAAGCACTTGAAAGGACGAAGGTTAGGCAACGTCAAACAAACTGAAAACTGTAAATGCTGACGATAAGAGACAGGGGATAAAACGGAAAGATAAGTGCTGAGACGGGGATAAAACGGAAAGATAAGCGCATTAACATAGAGTACAAACGGGAGAGCCTAATGTCCAACTCAATTCAGCAATAGCCAATAGATTACACCAACATTCTTTTCATGCCAAAATTGCCCTAACCCTCATTGAGGATTATAAGATTTTAGATAGATATAATAGCCCTTCCGTCCTATTTTAGTTGTGCTAATTTCTTTTTTGGGTTGTCTCAAGATGATTGTTTTGTTTCTTTTTCTAGTGAAAAATGTGTGGTTCTTAGCATTTCATTTTATTCTACTCAAATCTCAATCGTAACTTTCACTTTTCAACCACTTTAGTAATAATCATGTCAAATTAAAACACGACAATCAATATGAGACAGAGGTAGTACTATGTACCACCTCCGTTCTCTTTTAATTGCAACATTGGACTTTTTGCACTATTCACATGTTCTACTTTGACTATATTTTATTAATTAATGTATTATAAATTAAATTTTTTAAAAAATATTATTAAATTCTTCTCATTCTATATTATCAAAATATGAATTTTTAAAATTTTTTACTAATAAAGAATGAAAGATACTAATGGTCAAACTTGTACATTGGTAAACGTGAAATGTTGACTGTTGCAATTAAAAGAGAACGGAAGAGTATATATATAATGTTTTGGGTACTCGAATAAGCTCATCGAGCATTCAAGCTTTCGAGCTGTGTTAAAACGAGCTCGAACTCAGCTCGGAAACAAATATGAGTAGCTTGAGCTCGAATTAAACTTTGTTTAAGTTGAATATTTGTCGAGTCATGGATTGAGCAGCTTGCGAGCTACTTGTTCAGTACTTGAATATTTTGCAGTCCTACGTAGTACTTCGTAATTATTAATTCATTTACTAGTATTATAGTTGACACAAAGGTGATGAGACGAAAAATATATGCACATCCGCATAAGTTAGGTGAGCGTGTTACGTCTAAAAGGTTGAATCCCCAAACCCCAAAGCCCCCACGCCCCGACTTGACAGAGTAACTGAGAAGATGTAAATCACGATGACTCAATCGATCCTAACGGTGGTAGACCTTATACCCGCGTGCAAGAGTGGCCCAACCCAGCAAATGATCAAGGATTTTGATCCTTGGTCATTTTCCAACTTTCTCATAATCCCACCGCTTTACCAGTTGAGCTAGTCATGCCGGCGCTGAGCGTGTTACATTATATGCGGTGAAGAATATCATTAAAAAGCAATAACAATACCTATATTGCGTCTTTGTAAAACAATCTATTGGGATGAATATGTTGATTTCAGTTTCATTGAATCGAACCATGCCAAAGTGAACCGAATTAAAATCGAATCATATACAATGACAAATCAAACAATGACAAATCCGAACAAATTGGGAATGAACTAGAAATCAAACAATCTTAAATTGAACCAAACTAAACATAACCAACTAAAGCCAAATCAAAACATTGTATGCCTTTATTTGATACTACCTCCGTCTCATTTTATGTGTCTTAGTTTGACTTGACACGATTATTAATGAAGTGGTTGAAAACGTAAAAGTTATGATTGAAGTTTGAGTATAATAAATTGAAATGGTGTAGGCTGCATATTTCTTTCCAAAAAGGAAAGAAGACACTTATTTTGGGACAACACAAAAAAGAAAGTAGAAATTTAAAATGGGACGGAGGGAGTAATAATTATATTCACATCGAACCAAACTGAATAAAAAATTGATATGCCACTAAATTACATCAAGGTGCTCCCTTAAAAGGAAGAATTCAGATCCTCTACCGTGCGAGATCAGCAACTAGCAACCAACTAGCAGATCAGAAGAAGGAGGCATCGAGATATAGACCTCCAAACTCTCCAGCAAGCCGAGAGACTCCGAATCCTAAAAGCACACTTCTATATTTTCTAAGATGATCCCTCATCATCTTCATCACAATCACATATTTATACTTGACATCTCTTGGATTAAGGAGGTCAAGTTGAGAGCAGAAGAACCACCAGACTCCTGGATCGCCATGCGAGCCAGTTCACCCGCCTCCCTCGCCTTCCTCCTCATCTCTTTCCCTTCCTCGCCCATTACTTTCTCCACTGCTCTCTTTATGTCATCCTTCTTCACCAAAACTCCAACCTCTTCTTCTTCTCCCCACTTGACCGGCACCTCCGCCCCCACGCTCACCCCCATGCCCAAAACCTGCACCACCAGTTTCTCGTTGCAGAATTGCTCGGCGAAGAGCGGCCACGTTGCCATTGGCACGCCGGAGGCAATCCCTTCCAGCACTGAGTTCCACCCGCAGTGGGTCAAGAACCCGCCGACCGATGGGTGGGAGAGGATCGGGATCTGAGGAGCCCACCCGCGAACCACCATCCCCTTCTCTTTGTTCCTTTCCTCGAACCCGGTCGTGGCAATCCATTCCTCTATGCGGCTCACATTGCGGCCTCTTCCCAGCACCCAGATGAAGGGTCTCCCCGTTGATTCCAATCCCTGGCCCATGTCCGCCATCTGTTCGACATTTGGCCTAGCCAAGCTTCCCAGGCTTGCGTACACTACAGATTCTGGCTCGTGGGATTCCAGCCACTTGAGGCAGTCTTGGTTAGTCGCGGCGGTCTCGTCGCCTCTCACGGCGGCGTGGTCTTTGTCGTCCGCCGAGCTGTATAAGGAAACAGGGCCGATGCACCATACTTTCCCCTGTTTCTCCTTGCGATACTCTCTGGCGTATTCGGGTTCCAATTCCTCGAAACTGTTGACGACCACGCCGTATGTTGCCTTCTCGGCGGCCAGAAATTTCTTCTTGAATTCTTCCATTAGAGCGTAATTTGGAGTGTCGTGAGGAGTCTTCTTCGAAGAGCTCGAGACCTGAGCTTTGGTGAGCTCAACCATGTCGGGCACATCAGGGACGACGAATCGGTCCGAATCGGACTCCAAACTGTCAAGAATCTTGGATTCCATTATTCTGTGGTTGCATAGGAGGGAGAAGCAGCAAGTTCCATGGAAAACAAGGCGGGGGATGTTGAGACCCAGAGCGATCTCCGCCGTCCACGGCAGCCCCATGTCTGAAATGAGGCAATTCGGCGGCGGATCAAGCCGTTCCAGCACCTGTTCCGCCTCTTGCCGGAGCGAGTTGATGGCCGCCAAGAATTTAGGGGCCATGTCCAGGGAAGGAAGCAGGTCGATATTCTCGCACCCTTCAGGCAGCCCTGATTCTGAGGTGGGGAATCTGAGCTCGAGTACTTGGATCTTCAGGCCGGAACTTACGGCACGAGACAGGGTTGATCGGAAGCGGTTGGCGTTGACGGGGGTGGTTAAGATGGTGACGGCGACGCCGCAGCGCTGCGCTAGTAGCTTGGCGATGTCTACCATTGGGATCATATGGCCAGGAGCCATTAGAGGAAACAAGATGAAGTGAAGCTGCTGCTGCCGGCTCTTGCTGAGTTTTTTCCCGGATTAATGTTAAATAAATAAATAATTCCCAAAATACTGCCGGGTTAAAAATAATTCCCAAAATACTGCTGGATTAACCGTGGTTAAGAAGAGCCGCCACTAGAAGTGGCGGCTTTTAACCTGTAGAACAAGAGCCGCCACTTGAAGTGGCCGCTTTCCTATATATCACATAAGTCTCGCACGCAAGGAACATTGAATGCCAAAGTCAAATCAAAGATTATGGGTCCCATCTAAATTTAAAATATCATGTTTTCTTTGAACTGCTATAACTTTTTTATTTGCAATCTGATTGTTACAAAAAATATACCAAAATTCATAACTTTTTATTATCTCTCATATGACACCGATATGTAATATATAAAATCAAAAAATAATTTAACACTTTAAAATTAATGTGTATCTGTTTTTAAAGTGTTATATATTTTTTATTTGTATTCCGATCGCTACAAAAAATTTTATCAAAATTTATTATTTTTTACTACGGAGTATCTTTTATAGGAAAGCAATGTTCCATAGAGAAAAATAAATAAATGTGTGTAGTTTAGGATCGTTTTTACCATTACTATGCATTCTAGATTTTTATATATTCAATATTGGTGTCATATGAAAGATAATAAAAAGTTATGAATTTTGGTATATTTTTTGTAACAATCAGATTGCAAATAAAAAAGTTATAGCACTTCAAAGAAAACATGATATTTTAAATTTGGATGGGACCCATAATCTTTGATTTGACTTTGGCATTCAATATTCCTTGCGTGCGAGACTTATGTGATATATAGGAAAGCCGCCACTTCAAGTGGCGGCTCTTGTTCTACAGGTTAAAAGCCGCCACTTCGAGTGGCGGCTCTTCTTAACCACGGTTAATCCAGCAGTATTTTGGGAATTATTTTTAACCCGGCAGTATTTTGGGAATTATTTATTTATTTAACATTATTCCGGGAAAAAACTCGCTCTTGCTATACGATTCGGACGCCATGGGAGTGGGCTACTAGGAGATACGGTGAGTTACTGATAATGTATCTCCTAATGTTTTTTGGGGACCTGTCTTCTGATAATGATGATAATAATGGGTGGACAAAGATGCAGATCAAGAACATGTGGACTATGTGAGGATGTTTTGGAATTGATTCTTGGAAGCAAAAGTAGAATGGATTTTTCAGAATTGGTTTTCATTAGTTTCTCAAAAAATGTCTATGTTGTAAAAACCGGACCGGTGAGCGACCCGGTCATGTGACTGGGTCACGGGTCAACCCGGACCCGGAGGGTCAACCCGGTCAAAGCCGGAAAACTGGTCAACGATTATACGTGTATATAATAATAATAATAAACATGTAATTATATACACTCTCATTATATATTTTTATTTGTATTGTACATTTACTACATTTATATTATAATTTGGCATGATTTTCATTCTTAAATAAATATATAAATATATTTCATAGTTTTTATTTTTAGGGAATTGAAATTGCAATTTTATTGGTTTAAAAAATACATTAAAATTAAAAAAGAAATTACTTTTTTTTTGAAAAGACCAGAAACCGGGTTTTCCCGGGTTTTTCGGGTTTCTTGGGTCGGGTCCGGATCAGATTTTTTCGGGTCAGCCGGGTTTTTCCGGTTTTTGACCATTTTCGGGTTTTGAAGAAACCGAACCGGATTTTTGTCCGGGTCACCGGGTTCCGGGTCAACCCGGCCGGGTCGGGTCGGTTCTTTAAACATAGAAAAATGTTTCTACAAGTAATTTGGTGCACTCACAAATATTTCTGCATTTTTCATCAAAACATTTCAATATCTAACTTTACTCCGGGAAACATTTTTAAAAAGTAGATCCAAACACCTATAATGATTATGGGTGTTCATAACTAGAGTTAGTTTTTTAGTTGGGTCTCAGTATTCTTAAAGAGAAAATTACCCATTCTAGTATTTTTCACAGGATCCTATGTTTGATTTTGTTTAAATAGTACTAAACATTATAACCGTCATTTGCAATGGAGCCAAATATTCAATATTATTTGGCTTGAGAATATGATGGAATAAAGTAAAATGACTCACTAAATTGTCTGTGCTTCTTTGTTATGAAGCAGTATTTGATCTATGCAACTTTGGACACGATTTCCACAATGGGTCATCCGGAAACAGTCTCTCTGTGCTTTAGTATAAGGATAAGACTGCGTACATCAGACCCCCTTACCCTACCGTAAGTGGGAGCCTTTGCGCCATTGGGTAATGATAATGATGAGAAAAAAAACATTATCTTGCTACCCCGTAAATTAATTAATTACTTAATTAATTATTTAATTAATATAAACAATTGTTCTATTAGTTCCCTTGCATAATTAAGGTCAGTTCGCGAGTGATGAGTCAGTCTGTTAGTGGCGGCGAATTCGGAGAAGGTGGACGCCTGGACGACGATGGTGGAACTCTAAAAAAATCAGAAGCGACAATCTAGTAAAAAGATTCGTCGATCGGTTGTGGGTGGCTTGACGATGGTCGGGCCACCTGGGGGCACTTTCATTGAACAACAAGATGTTGGGCAATTGTCATAAATGTTACGGAGTACTATCTTTGTCCCATTTAAAAGTGCAATTGCAGAATGACGTGATTATTATTTAGATATTAATAAAATCTAGTAATTCGAGTATATTTTGAGAAACAATTTTGATGAAAATATATGATATAATGAGGTTATTGATGATATTTGTGATGTTATGAATATATTATTTTCAATATTTGATGATTAAATTGTCATTTAGAGTGTTAATTGTTTCCTAAAATAGAAAATGAGAACCTTTGGATTGGGACGTACAAAAAAGAAAAATGTAATCTTTGAACAGGACAAAAAGAATAATATATAATATATAGAAGTAACAATAAGAGTTATGTCATAAATATTACAAAAAAAATAGTTATAGACAAAAAGTGACAATTTTTTTAAAAGGGAAAACTGTCAAATAGGTCCTCGAACTTTCATAAAAAAGTCAATTAAGTCCTTCTATAGAAGACTCTGTCCGGTCGTCGCGATTTGGGGTGGTTCCCGGTGGAAATTTTTTGATGAATTTTTTTTAGCATTTTATTCATCAAGTCTAGTTTACTCATACCAAATTTCAGTTAAAAATTTAATCGAGAGCGTATTCAAATTAATTTGAGAACGCAAAAATGCGCAGTTATCTTCAAGAATTAATTTGAATGTGTTCCCGATTGAATTTTTAGCTGAAATTTGGTATGAGTAAACTAGACTTGGTGAATAAGATTCTCAAAAAAATTCATCAAAAAATTTCACCGGGAACTGCCCCAAATCGCGACGGCCCGAACAAAACCTCTTATAGAAGGACTTAATTGACCTTTTTATGAAAGTTCGAGAACCTATTTGACAGTTTTCCCTTTTTTAAATTTCCAAGTATGTGACCAATAAATATTATACTTACTAAATTACCCCTAATCCCTGGTGACTTATTTGACAGTGACATGATCCACCATAGTGGCCTTCGCCACAGTGACTTCCGCCGCAGATGACCTCCGTTTGCTATCGTCGCCAGTCACACTGACCATAGTGACAGTGACTAAAATATAGTGACCACCGCCTATCAGGAAGTGACCACCTGTTCAGACCATCGACGCCTTGACTGGTAAACATCGGCGTCTTGCTAGTGACCACCGTCGTTCAGCCAGTGACTGTCAGTCATAACAGCAACCAAAACGCAGTGACCAAAACCCATGACCTTTTCAGTGAAACATAAATCGGCCTCCCTGTAAATATATTTAAATATAATTGTAAATCTTAGATGAACACTACCAGTCTCGCCACATTAAATTGTATTTGCATATTTCCTTAAAAGAGTTTGAAGGTGATACCTATTACCTCTTCATCATAAAATAACATCTTGTATACTTGAAAACTTAAATGATAATAGTGACTGAATAGTGACTGGTAGTCTGGTATAAAAACACTTTTATCTTTTGGTATACAAAACAGTCTAATCACTTCAAAGATATATAACTTTTTAAATTTTTACCCATAACCGAACACTTCTCATTTCAAAGTTACCCACTCATATCACACCCATTCTTTTATTTCTCACTTACATTCTGACCAGGGGCATTTTCACTGAGGCATAAATCAACCCTCTTGGTAAATATATTTAAATTTAATTGTCAACCTTAGATGAAAGCCACCACCAGTCTCGCCACATTAAACTGCATTTGCATATTTTCTTGAAAGAGTTTTAAGGAGATATGTTATACATGTTCATCAAAAATACTAACTGTATTGATTGTCATCGGGTGCTAGTAAGAAGTTGTTTTGAGATGAAATGAAGTCCTAAACTCAGGATGTATTTATAGAACAATAATTGAAGTTCTTTATCAATGTGAGTGATTTAACCAATGGTTAATGTCATGTTATGTTTTGAATAAGAATGGATGAAAATCTGACATGACAATGCATAGAGCTGGTTAGACTAAGGGAGTGTTTGCAATAACTTAAAAAAACATTTCTCAGCTTTTGGATTAAAAAAGCACTTATTTACTAAACACTACCAATTTTTATTTTTTTTTCGGTTTGCGTGTGAGAAGTGTTGTTCTCTTTTCTATTACACAAAAAGCACTTATTTTACCAAACACTACCAACTTTTACTTTTCAAAATCACTTTTTTCTCAAACACTATCAACTTTTACTACTAATCACATTTTCCTTACATCTCCAAAAGTGTTTTTTAACCAGAAGCAATTGCAAACACTCTGTAAGAGTATCACCAATGCTCACGGTGAATTGGAGAAGAGGTGTCAAAAAATGAAGAGGATGTATTGAGTTTGTGGGTCATAATTAATCAATGATAGGATCCTAGGCTGTAGAGAATTATAATAGTAGATGGTCTATGAATCAAATGAAGAGGGTCTATTTATAGCAACTCCAATGCGGAAGACAAAAGTAATTCAAACTAAAATCAATTATTCAAAAATCAACATTGCATGAGAGAGAGGTGAGACCAAAGGTCCCAAAGTAAACAGAGTTCTATTTTGTTCACCCCCTTCATGGAGGGTGAACATCACCCCCTCCCTCCAACACATGACACTTGGCATTACAATTGCAAAATTTAAAAGTTTTGCCAAGTGTCATGTGTTGGAGGGAGGGGGTGATGTTCACCCTCCATGAAGGGGGTGAACAAAATAGAACTCAAGTAAACATGCTCTTGGACCTTGGACATTTTCAATCGGGATAGACCTGATTTATTTATTTGCATCGGAGAGTACATCTTATCACAACAATTTGTCTTGGGGTACATAAGATGTACACGATTTGTACATCATATAAAAGGGTTAAAAAATTACCATTCCATTTACCCCACCTAGGAAATCCTCTCTTCTCTCCCTCTTTCTTTCCCACGCACTCCCCCCTTCCCGTTACATATTTGCGCAAAAGGGAGCACATTTCAATGTAGCGTCTTCTTCCTCATGTCCTCTTCCTCTTCACAAGACGACGGAAGAGTAGGAGTCTGGTGTGAAGGTATTAAGCAAATGGATTATAGCGTTGAGCAGATGGCCTTCATCAATAGCTACAACATGGGCGAGTTGATGGCACCCCAAGGAGAGGATTCCGGCTCTGAACCACCGTCGACCAGAGATGAAGCTCAACCCAGTATGAAATACGTCGGCGACGGAGAGGAAACACATATTCCGGACGCTGATCATGAACGAGTCCGGAGATGAAGCTCAATCCTATAAAAGTTGGCCTCAAGTAGCTCAATGAGAGGAAACACATATTCCGGAGAGCCAACTTTAACCGTCGTTGGCTCATTTATGCACATTATAGGATCAACGAGTCATATTGTGTTTTTGAAGGTGATTGATCCTAAGTCATATATAATAGACTTTGTCCGGCCATCGCGGTTTGGGGTGGTTCCCGGTGGAATTTTTTGATGAATTTTTTTGAGCATCTTATTCATCAAGTCTAGTTTACTCATACCAAATTTCAGCTAAAACTTCAATCGGGAACATATTCAAATTAATTCTTGAAGATAACTGTGTAGTTAAATGAGCAGTTATCTTCAAGAATTAATTTGAATGCGTTTCCAATTTAAGTTTTAGGTGAAATTTGATATGATTAAATTATTTTGATGAATAAGATGCTAAAAAAAATAACAATGCCGGACATCTTTCAAGAACAGAACCTTGCAAATCTGGGTTTGTTTTCTTCTCTTTATTAATGAAGATAGCACTGTCCATTTCTCTTTCTCTCTCAGCTATCAGAGTACCAGTGACGCTTCCTCTCCTTTTCTCGCCTGGCGTCATTTTTGGGTTCTTTTCTTAACACAGTGAAGTTGGGTTTTAGACTTTTAGACTTTCTCACCATTGTTTTATTGTGAAATTATCACAAATTTACTACCATAAAGTATATTTTAATGGAACTTGACTTCACTGGAATTGCGCTTTTGATGGTCTATAAGCTTCATTTTAGCTGTCTCCTCGGCAAAACTTTTTGCATTTCACGGAGCACATAAAAAGCAATTGATGTGCTCCTTTTGCATTCTTCATCTGCATATTGCTCTTTCAATCTTTTTCTGATCCGTTTCTCTCTTCATTAGCTGTTTCAAATTGATAGAAAACCATGAGGGTTTCCTTTTTCCTGCTCTCTCTCCTCGCCCTCTTCAGTCTTTCTCTTCACTTTCAAGTCTTTGCTGCTGCTCCAGCTGGTAACCCCCCTCCCTCTCCCAGTGTGAGGAAATTGATTGATCTGTTTAATTCGTTGCACGAACTCTCTAATCAGCGTGTAATTTTGTATGAATTTCAGGGCCTCTAATAAAGCACTTGAGTTCTCTGTTCAAATTGACTAGCAGGACTTCTTCCTCCAAGGTTCCCCAATCAGGTAAGCTCATTTGGAATTCGTGGTAATTCGCCTACCTGTGAGTATATGTAGTGTTTCAGTATATAATGCTTAGGAAGGTTGTGTAGTTGTGATGCTTCAAATCTGGGTTTTATTGAAATGATATTGAAATTTGGGGTGAAATTTGTTGCTTGTGCTTCTATTGTGGGTATACAGAAGGTGGGAATGTACTTCAATTTGAAGACGGGTACTTGGTTGAAACTGTGGTCCGAGGAAATGAACTTGGGGTTGCGCCTTACAAGATTCGTGTCTCACAGGATGGTGAATTAGTTGCAGTGGACGCTTCTCGGAACAACATTGTTAAGATTACTCCCCCGTTGTCCCAATGTAAGCTTCTCCACTTCCTCCTTCATTTCTCTCATACTTTTCTCAATATAGTGTTCTCTATTGAGCTTTGAATTCCCATAGTTTATCATTGGCTTCATTGTAATGCTGTATTTGCTTCTTGAAGTCTGGAAATAGAACACTTAGAGTGCGTTCAGTTAGTTGGGAGAAGGACGCTAAATGTCAATTGGTTGGCACTGTTTTATTCTCCCCTTTCATTTGACATTTGGGTTTATTTATTTGGGAGAAGGACACTAATCAAATGCTTAAATCGATGAATAAGTAATTCAAATGATACGTCATACGTAGGTCCTGTTTGGCAGCATTATTTATCTGTTCTGCTTTTCAGCAGAGCAATTAGAACAAGTATCCCTTTGACATACTTAAATGGCTCATATCAAATTTACCAAATGCTTTTACTTTCATAAAATTCAACTATTTCATCCAAATAACTCTTACCAAACAAGCTCATGATTTGCTTACAAGAAGATTAAGCAGAATACCCGATTAATGTTACTAGGCGGGGTCTCAGAAAACTACTAAAGTTTGAATCATGGATTTTTCGGCCAAGTAAAATATAGTCGTTCAATTATGGGATGTGTGTGTGATGAAATAAACAGAGTAGTTTTTTGGAATTGTAATGTGGAGATTGATGCAGATTGTAGGGCAAGATTGGTTGCTGGTTCATTTAAGGGTCATAAAGGACATGTTGATGGGAAACCAAGTGAAGCCCGTTTCAATAATCCAAGAGGAGTTGTCATGGATGATAAAGGGAATGTCTATGTTGCTGATACATCAAATCTTGCCATAAGAAAGATTGGAGAATCGGGTGTGACAACGATTGCTGGAGGGAAGTCCCACAGCGCAGGGTATAGAGATGGGCCAAGTGATGAAGCCCAATTCTCAAATGACTTTGATGTGGTTTATGTCCAGCAAACGTGTTCATTGTTGATTGTTGATAGAGGAAATGCAGCCATAAGGCAAATCTCTCTTTATCAAGAGGATTGTGACTACGAGCAAAGTTCCGTCTCAACCATAGGTTCGAATCCCCCAGACGATGTGAATAAATGGGGCTCTATATAGGGATTTTATTCAAAACCTGGTCCATAATCTGCAGTTTCCTTTTTGCAGATATTTTTATGGTCATAGGTGCTGTAGTGATAGGGTATGCTGTATGCATGCTTCAGCAGGGATTTGGCTCTACAATTTTCTCGACTCTGGTATGTTGTTGTGATCTATATTTAGTTCTTGATGAATAGAATATTTCGCTTACCTAATAAAGGATTAAAGGGTGGCTGAAATGCATGTATTACGTTTTCCATTAATTTTATGAAATCTCAATTATATATCAAGATATAGACTTTGCCCTCCAAAGCCAAAATCTCCTTTCCTCCAAAACCCTCAGTCCAAACCAACACACCTTTATTTTCACGAGTTAAGTGCTACGTGGCTCTTTATCCGTCCTCTGCATTAGGGGTCTGACACCGTTTTGACTTGTGGTATGTTTGGATCAATGAATGTGCTAGCCAATAAGAAAAGAATTGCTACATATTTTGTGGACTTTGGTTTTACTTGGGAAAATGCATTTAAGAATCAAATTTGATTAATTTTTTTAATCTCTTTTACAGGGTTTATATTTACAAATTACTAGTCTTTATTTAATAGAAATGAATACATAAAATGAGTGAACAAATATAAAAACTAAATCTATTGAGTTTGAACAAATGTAAAAACTAAATCTATTGACTTTGAACAATTTTATTTTTATTTTCCCCACATACTTTGTTTCCTGCAAACTCCCCCTCATGTTTTCCTCCCTGTTTTCTTTCCCTAATATTTTCCGAGTTTCATATGAGCCTTGGTCATCCAAGAACCAAAAAATGTGTAAACAGTTGTACAACTCCTTTTGGAATGCAGGGAAATGCAGTAGGCAGGGAAGACAAAAAACTGATCAGGAGGGAGAAGGCGTCTCCTGTTGTTGAAATGGGAAAGGGAGACAATGAAGTAGTGACTGGATGGCCATCTTTTGGGCAGCTCATTTGGGATTTGGCCAATCTCTCACTTGAAGCCGTGTCTTTCATTTTCACCCTTCTTAATCCACTGCAATTCAGGAGCACTAGAGTCGGCAGTGGCCTCACTCCACTTAAAGATTCTCTCATCATGCCAGAAGACGAAGAAGTAGAAGATAATCAGGAACGGAGAGTTTCTGCCCCAGTTTCTGAGATCACCACTAGGCCGGTTCACCCTCAAAGTGTGGTCAACAGTAATAATCTGTATAAAGAGGTTAAGACCCACAAACATAGATCTTCTAGTTCGATAGAGTCACCACAGTCAACCAGGCTGCACCGATCTACCAGGCACCATGACTACCAAGCATACTATGCATCATCAACAAGCACTGAGGATGCTCAGCCTTCCTATCAGCCTGAAATGAGGTCTAAAAGTCAGGGGGATAAGGTAAAACATCGCCGTCCAGAGAAAAGTGCACGCACTGGGATGGATCCCAAGTATACTGGAACAAAGGGCCTAAACCCTGCTTTGGTTGAAACTGCCAGGTCTGAGCAATACTATATCAGGAACAACAACCCACCCAGATATCAGTAGAGTACAAACCCTCCATTTGCATTCCCTATACAAAGGGTATGTTTGGCAAATGGCTTATCAGCCAGCTTTTAGCTTGTTTGACCCATTTCAGCTGTTTGATTGGTCAAAGAAGCTAATTAATGATGTTTGGTAAATGCCTTTTAAAATTAGCTTGTTGAGTTTGAAAAGCTGAAAAAATGGATTGTTGAAGAAGCTAAGGGGAGCAGCTTCTTCATTTGGCTGGTTCAATTTACACTCTATCAGCCATTTTGAAACAACCAATTTTACCAAACAGTTATCTATAACCAGCTAACATAACCAGCCGGTCAAAACAGCTAACACAACCAGCTGTTAGGAAACAGCTGACACAACCAGCTAACAACAACAGCTAACAGCCATTTGCCAAACATACCCAAAGTTGTGAGCATTCTAATGCCAGAACAAGTATAGTGGTGAATCTCCTACTAACTTTGCTGTGTAACGAAGGACAAATATATCATATGGCTCAGAAGTACCAATTACCCGACTTAGCATCTTCATTTTCACATATCGTTTGTAGCTCCTAGATGTGTGTTTTTTGTTTTGTTTATTTATTCAAATCGTCTTACATACTCCTTTTCCTTTAAAATTATTTCACACAGAAAGGCTTGACCAAATAATTCAAGAATGATTTGTCAAACACCCATCCAAACAAACAATCATCAAATTGAATTGAAACCAGATAGAGTATACTTGTAAACACATGTTCTGTCCTGGTTGCTGCCTGCTCAGTCGCTACTATATGATTCTCTTCTAGCCTTTTTGCCTGGCTAATGAATACTCTAATGTGTTTGAGTTTTCATGATGGTGTTGGATAGTAGAAACAACTAAACAAGGCCAGTGGTATGCACAAAGCATGCCAAAGAAACACGTGAAGAAAAAAATGTATCATTGGAGGAAAATTACTTTTTAGTTGCAATATTTTCATTTTCACGTTTACCATTAGTATATTTAATTCCTTATAAAGTTATAAGTAAAAAAAATTGAAAAGTCGGATTTTGAAATTTGAAAAGAAGACGGATTTAAATTTATTTTCAAAAAAAAACTATAATATATTTATAACTAAAATATAGTCGAAATTGAGCTGTAAAATCCAACCTGTTGTAGACTTGTTAGACAACGTTGTTATTTAAAATATAGTTGCTTAAGAGCATACTCATCTGTAGGTTAGTATATGTCATTAATGAGCATGTCACGTGCATTTTGAAATTCTTGATTCACTAACTGAAGCCTTATATGTCAATTATGCTCTAACCAATGTTGCAAAAGGTATTAAAAAACGGGCGTTAACTGTTAAGTACTCCGTAATAAACTAGACCAGTCTAATGCTTTTTTTTTTTTTTTTTTTGAAATACAGTCTAATGCTTTATAGTTTATACTCCGTACCATTTTACCTTTACCTCATTTGGGTAATGTCATCTTAACGTTGATGGTGCATTGCTCAAATGCGATGCCAACTTAACTCTCATGTTTTGTGAGATTTGAGCCTCACATTTTGATAATTATAATAATTAGACACTTCTTAAACCAAACGAACCTTATGAATGAGTTCTTTCCAAGACATAGGTTGAGGCTGATGAGGTTGGAAAAGCTCTTTATTAGAAAACCATTTACTTCTAAAAAATATTTCTGAAGGCATCATGCTAACTTAATATGCACTTCTAGAAACAAAACAATCCTTAACTCTTATGTTGGGTTTTGGCCGGATTGCATTAGTTCAAAAATAAAAACTTCATACTTTAATCACAATCTAAAATATGACCTGAAAATAAAACGAGTACTCCTTTGATAAGAAACACCTAACCTAATTGTTGTTCTACACTAACTCGACATAACTAAAAAACGGTTTTGCGTTTCTTTCTACTTTATAAAGTGATTTATTTTAGAGATAATATGAAAATCAATTAATAGTGCAAGTTGATAATTCTAAAAGAAGTGAACGATGATAGTTTTGGAAGAGAAAAATGGTTTTAAAAAAGTAAAGTTAGTATTTTGGGTACTAGAAAAGTGAAAAATAGCACACCTCCCTCTTCTTCTAACTTTTAGTTTTAAAGTAATTGATTTAAGATATACGTATATTTGAAACACTTTTTTTCACTATTCTTAACAAAAGAACAACCCAACATCAAAATTACGGTGGTATTCCGATCACTCTTTTGGAAGTAAGAGTGAGCTATAAATTAATTAAATCACTAAATGTATGATAACCTAATTATTTTCTGTCCCACATAATGATAAGCTAAGCACCTAAATTTGCTTATCTTCCTCGCTCAAACAAGTCTATAGTGTTATTTAAGCTAAATAATATTTTTATTTAGTTTCCAAATATGTCCTTGTTCAAAAGTGTGATAATGAAAAATTAATACTCCCTCCGTCTCAAATTGTTTTGCAAAGTCAACATTTTTTGGTCAACCAACAATAAAAGTCCATGCTCCTTATCGATAATTAATTCTTTTAATAATTAAAATTTATATATTCAGAAACTACATTAAAATCTCTTCAAAGTTGTAAACTCCAAATTAGAATATACGGAGTAATTAAAAATTGACATCCTAATTAAGCGAATGAAATGAAACTGTTTGACCAAGAAAAGTCAAATTTGCAAATTAATTTTGGGACAGAGGTAGTATAGAGTAATTAATGATGTACTTTTCACAAGGGAAAACAAGTACTCCTATTTTACTATCTAATGTTATGGAGTATATTAAAATTGAAGCAAGAACTTGATTTTATTGGAAGAGAAAGTGGGAATTTAATACTCCGTAATGGAATGGAGTAAATGATAATTAAGACGAGTTTCACATTTAGCGGTTAGCCGATAACGATTATATTAACAGATTGTTAATAGTAGATTCAGTGAGTTTGACTAATGATATAAGTTGATGGGTTGCAAAAAAGTTGTTTAATACGTAGTTATCTGTTTGGTCGTATCAATTAGTAGGAAATGATCTATTTCATAACGCAAATCCAAAGCGTTGTTATTTGTAGCGTTTCTATTTCAGCGATTCCGTTCAAAAATGTTAGGGTCAGACAGTTATTTACCAAACAAAGTTTTCACTTATTAAAAACGCTAAAAATGTTTAAACCGCTATTTTTTTGGCATAAAAGTCATTTCCAAACACCTCTTAATCTTTGAAATAATAACATACCAATAATCAAAATAAGTGTCGTTTACAAAAATATTACTCCACCTCTTAAACGGTTTGACTTGTATTGAAATTTAAGAAAGTGGAAATAAAATATAAATTACGGTCGTGATTGAGTAAGAAAAATGTAAATAAATGACAACCACACAACTCTTTTCAAAAAGGAAAATGAGAAGAATTTTCTAAAACATCCGAAAAAAATAAGTGAGAAAATTTTTATGCTAAGGGAGTATATTATACTCCCGTGCTATTAAGGAAATTTATCACAAACAGACTAAAAACGGAAAATAATATCACCTTTTTCAATTTTCTAAACTTCTTTAAAAAATAAACTAGCTAAACTTTTCCTTTCAAAAGTAGACACGTACGTAGTAATGTAGAATCAACCTACTGGAATTATACGACAAAGATGCATGCGTGGCAGACCGGCAGTTAGCTTCTCTATTTACCCCGCTTTGTTCAAACTCCAGCACTTACTCATTCATATATTTAAATAGAAAAATGTATAATAAAATAATTAAAAATGAGATCAAATTCAAAAGTAATAAAAAAATCAAATTGGTAGTACAAAACTCAAAAGTTATAATGAGAAAGGGTTAAAATAGTTTTTAAAGTGGAAAATTTGTAGAATAATTTCATTTTTCTTGTATTTTAGTTTTTAGAAGAATTCATACAACCCTTAATTTGTATAAAGAGTACGTATAAAAAATACAAATAATCTGTTTTTTTAATAAAATTAATCGAATACAAAATGAAAACATGTAATACAAAGTAAAAACATTGAATTCAATAAATAATAAATTCGACAAAATTTTAAAAATTAAATTAATTCTATAAAATAAAATAGATTTTTTTAAAAAATTTAAAGCAGAAATTTAATTAAACTAAAAAGCATGAAAAATATAAAATTCAAAAATAAAAAATAAAAAATAAAATTATAAAGAAAATTAAACATTGACGCAATTGATTTTTTTTAGAACGAGAATCTAGCAATTAATGTTTTTTAAATAGTTACAAAATTTTAAGGATACTTTTTGAATTCAACAATACTTACTATATAATTATGCAGTTTTTTTTTGTTTCTTATTGTTTCTTTTTGTTGATAATTCTTATTTGTTTTTGTTTTTTATTGTTTCTTAGAGTTTGTTTATGTTGATAAATCCAAATTTATCATTTTAGGTAATTGAATATAAATCAATGTATGATTTTTTTTTTACTTCAATGAAGTAACAAAGATAAATAAAAACCTAAATAAACAACACAAAACAAGATCAACAATAAAAAAAATATGTAACACAATGCAACAAAAAGCTAACACAATGCAACAAAAAGCAACACGATGCAACAAAAAACAAAACGATGCAACAAAAAACAACACGATGCAACAAAAAACAACAGGATGCAACAAAAAGCAACAAGATGCAACAAAAGGCAACAGGATGCAACAAAAAACATGATGCAACAAAATACAACATGAAGAAACAAAATGGAACACACTACAATTAACATCATGAATATAATTCAACACATAAGTGTTCGATAAATATATATAACTCAACTTACGGAGTATTTGTCTAACATTTATGATCAAAATTATAATTACAATTTATACTAAAGTACAAGAAACTTTTGAAGTCCACCAAGAACAATGTGATTCCTCCATCCCTAACTCCCAAACCCATTGTCTTAACAGCCTGCTGTTGCAACACCTGATAAAAGTGATGAAAATGATGCCTACTAAGAAGGTCATGAAGTGTGTTGTATCACAAAATAAGGTCACAATTGATTTGATGAGCCTGCTAAGAAAATGATAAGAAAGACACTGAAAACAAAACAGAGATTAGTACTGATTTAAAAAAGTCATTGATGAGCCTACTATTTATAGTTATAATCACTAGTTATAAGCACCTTATAAAAAGATTGAAGAGAGTATGAAAATCAATAATTAAAAAATAAGTACAAAAGGCTAATAAAAAAAAGGAAACACATACAATATATAAAAGTATTCAATTTATTCAGGTGAAGGAAATATTAATTCACTATCATCAAGGTTGGACCAATCCTATTGAGTAGCCCATACGATAATACTCCTACACTACCATATCTTCTCATTTTCTTCAAAATCCCTTTAACAAAAAATGATTCTTTTTTATTATTGCTTTCAACACCTGCTTCTGCACCGTATGTTGAGAATCATGTGATTTACTAGAAGCCTTACCAATCTTGTCGGCTTAAGTGATAAATCCACTCACCAGAGCCGAGGAGTGAGGAGGATGAATCTAATGGACACATTCACTAGTACGGATATAGAAAAATAAAACTTCCTAAATAAGCATATTTACTGAAATCACAATCTATTTAAACAATAGATGCAAATAAAAGCTGATTTAAGGAACCTGTGAAAGTTGCGCATGAAAAAAACAACAAGTAAGGTTCAGGGGAAACACCAAAACTTCTGATACCAGGAAGTGTATGCATATAATAACTACATAAACAACAACTAGGGATAACAAACTCTTAAATTAAAATGTATACAACAATAAATGGAGTAGCCAAGTATCTGCATATTAATTTAACATACTCCCTCCGTCCCAATTTACTTAGCCAAACTTGTTTTTTCAAGTCAATGGTACCTAACTTTGACCGATTA